AAAAAAAAAAAAAAAAAACGTTCGTTCGATTATCCCACGCATTACCCCAAAATAGGCAATCCTACGCATAGCGTAAACAAAAATAGGAACAAACATACATCATACATTTCCAGTCACTTTGACCAGTGCTATGTGACCGGTGGTCAATCTGTTGGCTCCTCTGACATTCGTCTCATCTTCTGAACATATTACCATCCTAGTGGGTTTTTTTTTTTTGTTAGCTAGATTTACTCAAAATCAGCTGGAGAAAAAAGCAAGTGCGCCGCTTAAAATTGCGAAGGAGTCATTTGCCCAGCATAAATATCAACATAAAAGGAAAAAAAAACCTCCCTAGTTTTCGGGAGAATTGCTTGCAGACGTAGTAAAGATTACACCACCGTAACTATTCAAAAACAGGAACAAATATACATCATAATACATTTCCAGTCGCATTGGCCAGTACCGTATGACCGGTGGTCAAAGTCCTGGTAGCCTAGACGTTCGCTTTGTCCCACGACATATTACAAAATTCTAACGGGGTTTTTTATTACTAGCCGAATTTATTCAAAATTAATCTAAGAAAATCGTAAGTACAACGCTTAAAACTTTGCATGCGTTATTTGCCCAGCTGATACTCATAAAAGGGAAAAAAACCTCCCTAATTTCCGGAAAAATTGCTTGAGGATGCAACAAAAATTATATTAATGCGTCTATACAGACTATGTTCACAAAATATAATTACAGCCGAAAAAAATGATGCAATTAAATATATTATAAAAACAACAAATTTTTTGTAGTAATTCAATTTTTTATGCTTTTTTGCATCTGTGCAACGCAGAAAATGCATACTGACGAAGGGTTGTCTATGTGTGCGTGCCTGTGTGTTCGTCTGTACCAACTTTTCATCTGGAGACCCAGAAAAGCTACAGGGCTGCAACTTTGGGAACTGACAACACGGGAACTGGAGAATCTAGGCGACTGGAATTTTAAGGGAATGTTCCACACTCTGTAGGTGTTAATGAGTTCACGCCCACTCCCCGGGTATGCGTAGTTAATATGTATAGGTTCGTGAAAGTTTTTTATGGGTAAGTTGCTAACTCGGGAACCAAGAAATCTAGCTGAAATTTTAAAGGGATGTTTTCAGACAGCACTGGTAACCAGTCTCAGTTATCTTAGCTAGAAGTATTTGCAGGAAAAACCATTGCCGTTAGCGGCAAAAACCTGCGGGGAACTGTGCAAAAAACGCATTTTCGCACCAGCATTCGGTGCGCTGGCCATTTATTTAAATATATTATCATAAAAAAAGGCGGTAAATTTTCTTTGGCCGAAGGACGAAATAGCGAAATTATAAAATTATTGACCGGACGGTAGGTACTGACCAATGGCTCAGAATCAAAGGGCTTGGCATAGCTACACCCTGTACGTGGATGCAACCCAGTCTAACATCACTAACATGGGATACCCCGCATCAACTGTTCTAGCAAATTATTTTCGTTCAAATCTGTAGCTGAACTGCAGTGAATTGTCCAGAAATCCACCAAATTTATTTGAACATCTAAATATGCAATGTAACTATAGAATGATAAGCAACAAGTAACAAGAAAAGTACAGTTGGTAACAAATCAAAATCCATGCTGCAAAAGAAACAGGAGAGCCAAAATCTCAATGGATTTGAATTATCCTGAACAGGATGCTCATGCATAGAATAGACTGTAAATCAAAAAAAAAAAAAAAAATCAAAAAATCTCTTTATATTCGCTTCCAGTGGGATTCTCTGATGAAATTCTCAGTGAAAAAATTCTCAAAAAGGAAGTAGCACGAATGGTAGCAAATGCCAACATCAACCACTCGCTGGTAAGGCCGTCGATGGCTTCCTCTTTTGAGCGGTTGCTTAGAAGCAAGTTGATGGCGGGTTTGACTCTCTAACAGCATATGCCTGTACCAATTTACCATCGAAACGAATGATCAAGTCGCGGAGAGGCTGGTTCCCCTACTGATGGAGTCCAATTGAGTACATAACCAAATTTTATGCTTTTTAGTAAAAGCATACATCATTCGTTACATATCTAACATGAAAAAACAAGAATTTAGCCGAAATCACTGTACTGTAAGTCTCAGTCTACCTCATCGAGTCTCCCCTTACTGAAGCAACTGTAGTAAAAGTTCTGCACCTGAAAAATGTCGAAAAATTGTGGTAATTCATTTATTTTGATCTCATCGTTTCCTTCGTTATCTACTGTTTGTACAGTTTTTTTAATACATTATCAAAACGTCAACTAAAATCGTGCTGAAAAACTCAAAGAAAAAAACCATAATGAGATTTCGAAAATGCAAAAATTACGGAAAAAATTCAAAAATTTTGAAGGGAATTCGCGAAAGTCCAACAATTATGTAGCTTGCAAAAAGCCACAATTATGAAAGAAAAATTTTCAAAAATCCAAAAACTACTGGAACTTCTCGAGGATCTAAAAATCATGGAAAAATTTTTTTCAAAAACTAAGTATGAAAAAAAACTTCCCAAAAATTTTCGGACATACGGGGCGAAATTTTGAAAATTTCACAAAATTATGATTTTAATTCGAAAAATCAAACAAATTATCATCAGAAATAGCTCAGAATAATTCCTACACAAATTCTCAAACATAAAGCATTATCATCACACACAGACTAAGTAATGCAGAAGAGCGGTAAATAACATAAACCAAAAAAAAATATCATAAAAAATACATGCTGGCGCAATTGATCATGCAAAAAAAAATTTTTTTAATCAAACTTGTTGCGCATAACTAGCCAAATAACGGCGAATCTCTTCAGTGATGCAACTTGCCGAATCGGGTTTTAGTGTTGTTGCACGTACCATCACTGCCTGTGCCAAGTATGCTAGAAAAAAAAAATAACAAATCTGTCGTATCATGACTCCCTCCTAGGTAGGTTGTCGTGTAATGGCGCGAAAGCGGCTTATATAAGGCCGACTGGGTTGCGGAACTGTGTAGGCCACCCAGTCGACTTACGACAGACGTGGACCCTGCTGCTACCCCAAATTATCGCCAAGAAGCTGACGACCCAAGTCGACAAACCAGAGAAGCGGGCCAGTCGATGGAACACCCAGACAGTAAACCCAACAAATCAAATTAGTAATCGGCGGTCAATTAATGCTTAAATTAATGATCTAAATCGAATAATTCATGAATTAATGATCTAAAACGACTAATTTATTAATTAATAATCTAAAACGACTAATTAATTAATTAATTAATTAATAAATTAGCACTTAATCTGTCCTGTGATTTATTGAAGTGCACTGCCTGACTGTTGGCGATTCTGACGCTCGTTTTGTTTCCAGAGAAGATTTGCATCATTTACATCCTTTTCATCTTAACTAATTCTTACTCTTACCTTAATTATATTGTTACCACAATCGTCGTACTGACGAGGTCCAGCTATGGTAACGGTAAGAAATGTATACGACTTAATGGACCGAAACATTTTTTACCCCTACTTTAATACTTCTCATTTTTTCCACCCTTCCTTTTTTTCTTTTTCCATCATTCTTTCTTATATTTTTCCATCATCATTCTTATATTTTTCTTTTAACCTCAATTAGGCCTCCAGATGGAGGCATTTTGGCGAGGCTTAAGCTGTTCCGGGATGAATTAATACTTAAAAAATTTATAAATTTAGGAGTACATTCTGTGATATCTAACCTTTGAAATTGACAATCTCAACGGCCAGCGTATCCGAATGCTGTGCTTGAGCCAGTTTACAGTACGGGTCGTTTTGCTCCAATTCCAGTTGTGCGAACGCGCCCTGCTCCTCCTCATCATCTTGATTCAAAGAAGTTGGGCCACAGCGAGATGCTTCCACCAGGCGCACTAATGATTCCACCAATGCTCCATACTGAGTTCTAAATTTGAAAGGAAAGTGAGAAAAAAGTGCGTTTTTCCCCTGTCAGGTGGAAAGTTTTTCAAAATTTTTTTCTAAAATTCGCAAAAATTTCATCGCCTGACTTTGCTACTTCATGGTTCGTTCCTCAGTACTTTTTCACTTTCGAAAATCATACTCATCGACGAAAATCTCATTTATGATAACAAAAAAGTGAAAAATAAGATAATCACAACTGTTGCTGTTACCAATGTTAACAGTTACATCAGCTGCAAAAAAAAAAAAAA